CTTCACAGATGCTGCCAGACCTGCTGAGCTTTTCCAGCAACTTTGTTTTTGTTCCTGATTTACAGCATCCACAGTCTTTTTTGGTTTTTACTGCAATATTTAAAGCCTGACTGTGTCTGTTAAAACAGAGATACATTTTGACTGGAGCAGGTGCAGGAAGACATTATAAAGCGAGGTGGCAGGATGTGTTCTAAAGTTCTCTGACTGAAGAGAAGTTACATAGCTTTTCATCATTAGGACTCAGGAAGGAGATCTGTGGGGCAGCATGATACAACGGAGCAAGATTCGAGCTCAGGGCTATACACAACAGAAGTTAGGAGACAAAGTACTTGTCAAATGTTGGAAAGCAGGTTACACCTACACACCCATTTGCGGTGACCAAAGCAAAATAGTCAATGATCACTGCTAAGCTCAGTTCATAAATCATCACAATGTCATTTTCAAAACACTAAAAGCAGCATATGTGATAAAAAAAATCCTATTTTTCTAATCAACCTGGTCAGAGATTACATTTCCTGGTCCAGGAGTAAGGACACTGTCACTGTGCCACAAGAGGGCCCTAAAAATACAGAACACCTCACAAATTTGTGTATCACCCTTGCACAGGGACCATGATCATCTTCTCTGTATTGTTCCAATTTCAGTATATGTGCTGCTGAAGCTGTAAGCATTGAATTTGATGCAGATGTTGACACATCAGATAATAAACGTGAGTTCAATAATGCAACACCTGATGTCAGGTGACATCCTACTTACTCATAAGAGAAAACGTTCTCTATACTTAAGCAATTGTGAAGCAGTAAACTTTTCTCTGTTGGTGAATAAATCTTATATGTCATCATACATGACAGAGTGCATACCAGAATTGGTGGTAAGTTACAATGTGTACTAGTATTGATGTTGAAGTTGAATGTCCAATTATTTTTAAGTTTATTGCTTGCTTTTGTTTAGAAACAAAGCACTGAAGCATGCAATGTGTCTCATTTTATAAGAAGTGAAGAGATGCAGTGCACTGAAAATTATATTGTACATCTTGTCTACTTAAGGCTACCTTACACAAATATACCTGCAGAGGGAATCTAGAAGGGGAATGAATAAGAGAATCCATGTCTTAACAGAACATGCAGTTCTGAATCTGAATGCATTTTGTTGAATCTTACTCGCTTTTTCTCAAGACATTCACTTAAAGTTCCTTGGGATTTCTTTTGGTTATGAATGTCACTTTATCTGTGTAATTCCTTCATCAGTATTTGTATTCTCACTGTCCTATTTACATATTCTAGTAATTATGGACAATAAATGCTGACCTTGCAAACACCCACATTCTATGAATGCATTTTGTAACAGTAATCCTGGAAAATGTCTGTTTTTACTCCTAGCATAATATCAGTGAATGATAACCTTGTCACTCAAGCAAAACATCATAGGCATGGTTCCAACTGTAATTGTTGCTTTTATAAAACAATTGAAAAGAACATATTTCACAGAAATCATGAGCTATAGGCCATCTTTAAGAGAACAGTTGAGTTGCCAACTGCTTGATGTTTTAAACAACAGTGTGAATAAACACTGTCAGAGCCTGATCAGATTAAGCAGTAGATCTCGAGAGCAAATTTTAGTAGGACTGAGAAGGGGTCAAACTTAAATTAGGCTCAATAGGAGTTAAGGGTCGATTAGGGTTCCTAATTCCTAATATTCTTATTATTATCTACCAAAGAGTATAAGTTGATGATGAGTATACTAACGTTTTGTAAATTGAATTCATAACATGGTGAGAACTACAACATCAAAGTCTGCTTGCTTTCTAGGAGTTACAATAAGGGTGACACCCAAACCTTCCTAAATTTATATCCGATTGTCTCTTCCATAAACAAGGATTGGGTCAGGACTGTTGTTATTTTAAATCTAATGTGAGCACTATATCCAGGAATATTTCAGTGCTAATCAAAAGAAAATGCAATGCCTCTAAATCCGAAATAAAATCAGAATAGATTTTGAAACGTAAAGCAAGACCACTAATATTTAAAAAGCAAATATAGAGCATAACGGTTTAAACAGATAAAAAAGGGATAACCTTGGATAAACAGGGTTTATTTGTTAAAGCAATGCATTGTACTAGGCAATCTCACAGTAAGCTATATTAGGTGTTAGCCTTGGCTCAATGACAGTAATATCACCTTTGAGTCGAAAGGCTATGAGTTAATTCCCCTCTAGAGATTTAAGCCTACAATCTAGGCAGGCTAGTCTGTGCAGTACTTTAGATTATCAATCACTTATCTCACTCTTAACCAGTTCAGGATTCACATCTCTTTGATAACCTTCTCAATAATAATGTCTGAACCAAAACATTTTGGAAATCTTTACATCTATTTATTAATCATCAGCTACAAATAGACAAAGGTCAGCACATTGGCACAGGGGTCAGTACTGCTGCCTCACACCACCAAGTTCGATTCCAGCCTCAGGCAACCGTCTGTGTGGAATTTCTCCCCATGTCTATGTGGGTTTCCTGTGGATGCTCTGGTTTTCTCCCACTGTCCAGGTTAGGTGGATTCGTCATAGTAAATTTCCCCATCGTCTCTAGGGATGTGTAGGCTAGGTGGATTAGCCATGGGAAATGCAGGTTTACAAGGATGCAGGAGGGTCTGGACAGGATGCTCTTTGGAGGATCAGTGTGGACTCAATGGGCCAAATGGCCTGATTTCACACTGTAGGGATTATGTGGATCCTCTCCGCTCACTCAGATGTCACACTTAGTTTTTAAACTATTCCACTTGCACTGATGTACAGTTCTTAGGCACCTTGCAACGTCAAATATTTATAGAACAGATGAAGATAGTACAGTCCATTTTGTGTATGTTAGCCAGAAGAAGAACTTTCAAGCCTAATCCTATTCTTCAGCTCTTGATCTGTAGCCCTAGAGGTCAAGTTCATTTTCTAAATGTGATGAGACTTTCTTGCTTCATCACTTTTTCAGGTAGCGAGTTCCCAACCATTACCACTTTCTGAGTGAAATAAAACTTCTCCTCAACGTCCTTCAACTAATTATTTTAAATTATGCTCCCAGAGAGTATACAAATACTCACATACTCAAAAGACATCATTGTTTACAGTATTTTGAATTTATTTCTCAATTTGCCCTGTTAGCTTTCCTTATTCTGCTCTGGGCCTCTGTTATTTTCTTTTTGTCTTCACCATTGTAACATACTAAGCAAAATATGTGATGAAAAAATTTCCCCTAAAGGGAAAATAGGATAAATCTTCAGCTCCTTTTCCAACCCCTTGCTAAAAATGCCCTTAGAGTCATCAAATGTTTAGTCCTAAAGGTGACAGGCCAAATTATTTTAACCGACCAGATCGCCAGATCGGGCGATATTAGCACTTATACTTCCAACATCCTGTCAGAATTTATTTGTACTGTGAAGTAAATTAATAATTTCTTATTAATTATGAGGAAATCACAGAGATATGTTTATCAACTGAAAGCCATTTCTAGCAGCAGTTAAATTTAACATCGACGATGTATATTGCTGTTTCATGTAATAATTCCGAAAGGGTCAATGCTTAAAACTGCATTAATGAATGAATGATTTTATAGTCACATGTATTTTAGTGTGAAATACAATAAAATACATTCATCACATTGATACAATGCCATTTTGATAGTTTTAAGAACAAGAAGAAAATGAAAAGATAGAACTTAAAGATAAGTCCATTGACGTTTGAGTTCTGAGCCAGCTCAGAACCACCACCGCCTCCCCGCTGCCTATTCCAGACCCACCAAAGTCGGAGTTGTGTATCTCACCGCAGCCCATCTCAATGTCACCGTGATGCCCTTCCACCACTGCTCTCTGCCACCAGTGCTGGACCCAACCAACAACGACGTCGCCAGTCCTCAGGCGCCATCTTTCATTGCCAGGCCTACCTCACTGATGTAGCCTCCGCTGATGTAGCAGCGTCTGATTCTGAGATCCAATCACCCTGGAAAATTCAGTAATGGCTTGCTCTTCTCCACTCAAAGAAATTAATACAAAGCACTGACATTTTCAGATTTATAAATCAACGTCCGCACTTCATCACCATCCCTGTTAAATATCACCTGGACTGACAGAAGCCGTTCCATCAACCTGAAGACACTCATTTCCCTGCTGCTGACATATGCACAATTACCTGTAGGCTCGTCTCACACGACTCATAGCTGCTCTGAGGATGGTTATGATGTTTTACTTTTGGTTTACTCCCACCTTGCTGGCAGATGGTCAAAAGAAAATATGATTTAAAAAATCTGAGAGTGAAGTAACAGCCACTTAACCTCCACTTAATCTGTTGATGCCTCTAAGGCTTGAGTGGGAAAAGTAGAACAACTCTGAATCTTATATATCTCCTCATAGAATTTATAACAATATCTATCATATCAACATAACTAGTACCTGATTACCATTTTGCAATAAACTACATTTTGTTTATGACAGAAACCTCTTCTCATTAGACTAGCAAGTGGCTTTCCTTCCAGGCTGCGGATAGCAGGTCCATGGATATTAACCAAGAAAGAGGATGGTGGCATCAAATTTACCAAATGTCCAGTTAGCTAGTGAAAGCTGGTGATGTTGGTGATTGTCTGAATATTTAGTTGAGCTGCATCATTACAAAACAAATCATTATGTAATTGGGTACATGGACAAAACCACACCACAATTGAGGCCATAGTCTGATAGAGTTCTGCATTGTCAGTGGTATCATCTTGAACTCACTCAGATATCACACAGTTAAGGAGCAAAGAACAAAGTACCAGCACAGCACAGGAACAGGCCCTTCAGACACCAAGACTGCACCAACACACGATTCCTTTCTAAACTATAAACCCTTTTGTTGCTATACAGCTCGTATCCCTCTATTCCCTGCCTATTCATGTGTCTGCCAAGATACCTCTTAAATGTTGCTTTCGTATCTGCTTCTACCACCTCCTCTGGCAGCACATTCCAAGCACTTACCTCCCACAGTGTAAAAAAGCTTGCCTCTCATATCTCCTTTAAACTTTCCCCTTTTACCTTAAATCTGTGCTCCCTAGTCAGCTCAAGTGAATGTAAAGGATTTTGCTGCATAGCTCGTGGTTTTTCATGTTTAATGTTGGGCATTGTATTCAGCTTCACCTAATCTGATGCTGTCCCATTATCTATGGGTAGAGAATAGGGAGTCTATCATGAGGTATCAATGCAGACGCAGTGAATAGAATGAGGTCAGCCAGGTGGACCTCATAGAATAAGAGTTCCCTGACTGGAGCTGTTAACCTTGTCCAATAATGGAGCCCTGGCTGACAGATAGATTGAGGAGTGATAGGGGTTCTGTTGACTTTAGGACCCAGCTCTGAGCTAGCTGGATCCATATTGTGTACCATACACGTGTAGATACAGAGTGATTGGGTGACAGGATACTGGCCTTCATGGAATTATTTCAGTGTCGTCTTTGGTTCTTGATAGCCTTTGCAATTATGCTGAGCTAGTTAAAGTGACGTATACCTGTTGCTGTCATGCAAAACAATATCTGATTTTGTAAGACAAATGCCTCTTCTCATTTGCTCTGAATGCTGTTTTTCTCTCTACCACTGTTAATTGCTTAGGCCCCTAGACTCAATATAGAAAATTGGCTTTAGATGTCTTGGTTAGCTCAGTTG